CCTTAGAGTTTACACGCCATGTTTTCTTTGATTGCAAACCACTGTCTACCGGTGTGACGCGGAGGATCAAGGGCACGCACATACGCGCACACACACACGCCGAGGGATCGCGGTACCGATCGAAATTCTCGCCGTTTCGGTCGTGTCGCGTGGGTGTACCGCACTCACGAGGCGGCGCGATATCCCATCCGTGGAATTGAACGTTTCGCGTTCGACTGAAGGCCTCCTCCTCCTCTCCTGGCTGGCGAACACGCACCTTCGACACACGGATGGTAGAGGACGAGAGACACGGGATCGAGTCTGCGCGGTTCGGCACGTGGACAACGACCATATACAATAACCCAGACCTGTAAGTATATCTAGACCTCAGAGCCAGAGTGTGTTAAGTCACACTTTTTAAACTTTCGAGAGGAGCAAATCAAAGGTGCTAGAATCTTGTAACTTTGAAACCGATCGGTAAGAATTGAACAAGAAACAATCGTTATCTTCGAACTATTTAATGGATTTAAGACAAGTCTCTATATGTAGAAATGGTAAATTTTGCATTAATTCCCCCATGTGATGAACTTTACACCGTTTTAACAATATGAACTTAATATCATTTTTAGACTATTACGTACCTATATTAAAAACTAGACGACTTGGAATGAAATAATTTGTACCACCCGAAAGAGGGAAATATTTGATACAGGGAACATGTAAAATGTCATTTTTTTTTTAAGTGGACTTAATATACTCTGGCTCTGGGATTCAGATATTAGGCAGGGAACGATTATCGTTGAGCTTCGTCCTACTTCTGTTAATTGTGTCGGTGGTTATGAAAGTGGTGTAAGTGAAAAAATTAAAAAAAAAAAAAAACGGAGTAGTACCTATTGTATTTTATGGTACATCGATTTATATTTCAATATCATGAAAGAATTTTCGAAACGAAAGATACATTACTGACACCACTTTCATAATCATGGGCAGAATGAATGAGTTATTTATTTGCTTTTACCGATCATTTGGATTTGTTGTCTTGGTTATTTGACGTATTGTTATTTGCTTCTTGCTTTATGTTATAAGTAGACTGCAGATGTTAATTTTAATACTATTTTTAACTGTTTATATGTTAGTAGTAACGTAGTAAGGCTTGTAGTAGGGAATTCAAAATTCTGTTCCGTTTGAACTTTTAGATATTAGTGTCGAAAAATGTGAATTTACATAAACTTATATGCGCTATACTCTATAGGAACTTTTTTTTAAACTTTTACTCCATATAATAATTCTTAACATTTGTTATACTTTACTTTAGATTGGTACTACAATGTACTAGATCATGGTATGATAAGTCAACTGATAGGTGCGGCAGCTAATCTTTGCAAACAGAATTTCGAAAAACAATTGCTGAGGTTCCCCTGAATTTCTTTCTATCTTCTTCTATCACTGTGGCAGTCATTAATGATGTTTGCCTAGTTTTACTAGTAATAGCAGCTTTTATATTTACGAGCGTTCGATATCGTAATCTAATATTTTCACTCTGCTCAGGGACTATCTACTATAGGGTGTCTCTAAAGCCTTAGACCCGTTTTTTTTAAACACCCTGTGTACAACAAATACATGTCGAACATATCTACTTGTATCAGAAAATAAAGGCAGTGAAATTTTTTTTTTTTTACAAAACAGCAGGTGTTCTAATACAATAGACTCGCGATAATTACCCGAATTCAGGGCTGTAAAGGCGGAGCCAGTTCTAGAAAACGGGTAATTATCGAGAGTCAATAGTTATCGCGAGTTTACTGTACTTATAGCTGGTAGCGTTGCACGCCGGGGATCCAGAGGACCATGCCAAAAATCTATACACGGTGGCGCGGAAAAATTCCAGGGTCGTGTAAAAGCTGGGAATAGACGTGTTCCGAACGGTTTCAGATATGAAGATGCTACCCGCGCGCCGCCACCGGTCGCTCGCTGACATCGCGTGAAAATAAAACAATTGGGGATATACCGTTTACGATTTGTTTTCCCGTTTCGACATACAGGGTGACGAAAAATAAATGCATTAAAATGTAAAATGTTCTAAAAGTTTGTAGCTTTTTTAAGGACAGATTTGTAACCTATATTTTTCAATTTACATCATATTCTTATTTACTACTGTTTATACAATTTCTTTCCATATTTCAAATAATTTCATTCTTTCAAAGAAGAAAAAAAAACTTTTCAACCTATTTGTAGATGGAGTTTTGTTTTCGACGTTTTTTCTCGATACACGTACAGTACAGTAAATATTTTTCCAAAATTTTTCGTAAAATTAATCACCTAGTATAACTTAAAAGAAGACCAACCGCCCCTATTAACTGAACGCATACATTTTTGACGATTTACGACTACAAAAAACGAAATAAAGCGCGTCTGGCTACGTACGGCCTTTTCCACTGTGGCAGTCAGTGTGTTAAGGGGTTGATATGCAGATTGATATAATTACGTGTATTAAAAATGAACCGTAAACATTATATACTGGAGCAAGCACGCGTGGCACGACTGGAACCGATCACGTCTTGTATATTAATACTATTTGTTTTCCCATTCACGTCGCTCTAGAACTTTTTATACGCGTCGGTGGCCCCGGGACGGTGTGTTTATTCGTTCCAGCCGGTCGCGGAAAAGCGAAACGCCAAAATGATGATGCCTCAAGGCTGCCAAAGTCATGTACACATGCAATTCCATCGCTCTGATGTTTTTACGAGGAAACTGTATCAACTCCGTGCAACCCGTCAGCCTCTAGAAGTAACTTTCTAAAAATTGACACGCATCTTGCCGAGTGACGGAACCATCTATATTTGAATTTTAATCGGAATTCTCGTGCATTAATCTATATCCTCGATTCGTTGGTTATCGCTAATAATCGAGTCGTTCACAGATCAAAGTGACCGATTTCGTATTTCTTCAATTTTTGTTTTTCAAATTTTAAAGTCAACGCACTTGATTGGTGCTTAACTAGTTAAAAGTATCTTATTTCAACTATTAAGAATTATAAAGTAGTTTAATTATTTAAAATAAATTTCGTATAATTAAAACTGCTAATAATTAAAATTGTAAACTATTTAAAATAAAGTGTGTTTATAAATGTCATATATAAATAAACAAAAACAAATTTCAAATAAATTGTAAATATAAATTTTGTGGGGTTAATCACATTGACAAATGAACGGCTCGATTACAGCTTCCAGAACAGCACTGACAAAATAACTAGTTTCTGCTTATAGTCAGTTGCATTTTGTAATCGATGGAACATGTTATCGTACTGATTTCCTACTCCATACCATTCTCAATTTAACAAACCCCCAAACAGATGAAGTATGTTTCTTTTCTATTTTTATGAAATATAATACATTACTATAGTAAAACCATCCTGAACTTCTCGAATTCCTGCGTCTTCCACTTAAGATTCGATTAAATCATGTATATCACTACGAAGAGAAACACTGTAGATTCGTACACACGAAAGTGTCGTTATTCTTTGGCAGCTAACTCTAAGACTATAAAGCTTAAGGCAATTTTATTATTTTGAAATGCAGTATAGTCACTGAAAATTGTACCACGCACTATCGTTCACAGTCTACCAATTACTGTACGAATCATTACAGTCCCCAATCGTCTATTAATGCACAGAGTTTATAAGTTTGAAAATAACCTCGAATTGGACAATATTCAACGGAATTCGAGGGAGGACCCCGAATTCCAGATACAATTCGTTTTGTTATTGCCATCGCGGTATGTCGGAAATAACCTGTACAATGAACTTCTGATCTCAGCTAAGAAAATCGTTACTCGTCGAACCCGAGGATTCTGTTTGAAATAGAGTCGATTTTCGTAACGTTTCTATTTTCGTGATTGCACAATTGCGCAAGGAAGTAGACAGAGCGACAGTTTTGACGAAAATGGATGGAAACACTTTAAGAAACGACTACTCCTCGTTCGTCGATTTTATCGTTCGAGTGGTCTACTAAAAAATAAAAGGAGGAATTTTCCACGAATCTTGGAAATGAATTACAAAACTTTCGGAGTGTGAACACGTGTCGGCAGCAAATGCGGAACTAACGTTCCATCGAAACGTGTTGTATACATCGACGTATATAAACCGCTCAACACTCGAGTAAATGAACCTTCGAATGAAAAATACGCGAGAAATTTGATTTGTGTATTGTAGAATTGATCGAAGAATTCGTGTTCTCTTTTCATTTTCAATTATTGAGAAGATTTTCTTTTTTAAAGAAGCTCTTAATTTCCGTCAGAGTTTCAACTTTAATCATTTCTACGATATTTAAACATATCCCTCAATTTCATATTCGTGTGCTGTTATTTAGCAAGATTATTCGATTTGAGAGTTTTATGAAGTTGGACATTAAAAAACCTCGGAAGGCGGATCCGAGGTAGACGGAGCTGGGTCATTTCTGACCCGTATCGAAATCTTGTGTTAATTTTTTTTTCAAAAAGATTTAGCTTGTGTATCAGGGTAAGTTAAGGACGATTTTGAGTCAATTTTGTTTTCACTGAAAACCATCCGCAGTCTTACAATGAATAATAAATTTCATTTTGTTACACTTTGTCATTTTAATATATTTAATGTGTATTGCTGCACGTCCGATCACTTTACTTCATATTAGCTTAATAAATATTCCTGAAGAAAGGAGATATGCACAAAATGAAATAAAAATCTGGCAAAATAACAAACATAAATACAACATTGCTGTAACGAGTTCAAATGGACCCAATATTCGCATTAACCGCATTTTTTATGACGGCTCAGATTGTTGCATGTAAATTGACGGGGTTGCTTGATAGTATGTCGAGAGTATATTGCAAATTTACACTTCAATTATTAGTCATTAACGTTTAACATGCAACAACTGTAAAAAAAGGCACACGATACCAATATTTTTTTTTCGAAATTTAGAATACATAGCCATATGGCAACAATGGGAATGAAAGGGTTAAAAAGAAAAAATTAAAATGTTGCTCACTTTGTTTTGGAGAGATTCGGGTCGCTGGTCTTCCTCTTTTCCCGCAACTGTCGCTGCAATGAAAATAGCCACAACGACGTTTAGAAACTGCGACGATTATCGAGAAATTCTAAATCGAGCGGTTCGAGCGAAATCCGGTTCGCGTGGCAGTTTATCGACAAAATAATTTATAAATACACATGCAAACATTCCCCGGAAACACGGAACTATTTGCAAACGTCGCGAGAATATTTAATTTAAAAAAAAAACATAACGGGTCAGTAGTTAAAAGTTTGATTCTCACCTTGTGATGTATCCGCTCTTTGTAACTTTCAGACCTGTTTATGTTCGACGTCTTTGGCTTACTGGAAATATTTTGCTGCACCCTATGGTAACCGTAATCAATTAAGCATAAATTAATGTCTAGAATGTAAAGAATGACGATGGGAATGCATTCGGGAACAATAAAAATTCGGACGAAGCTACTAATCATAATGTACACCTTAGAGGATAGGAACTGTGAGTTTTTCTGTAGGAACAAATATAGTGTCTTTCCGTGAGTTTCCGTCAAGGTCGGCAGGTACTCGATTATTGTCCGAACATTCCAGCTATATTGGATTGTATTGTATAGATAGCACCTATCTACTTTTTAATTGATACAATTTTCCGTTTTGCTACTATTTACCGAATTGAATAGCTTTCTTCTATGAACGTTACAACAGTGCCACGTTAGTCTATACAGTAAAATTTTCGATAAGAGTTCGAAGGCTCCTCGGCTCTGAACATTAAATATTTCATAAACTAATGGCCATACGCGGCTGAAATAAATATCATTGGCTTCAGAATTCCAAGCTGTGTCACCTGTGCTGAACCTCATTAAAAAGCCAGTGTTACACCTTGGGGATTTCTCCTTGTCAGTGTCGAGGAGCCTTCGAACATTCATCGATGATTTACTGTAGATGATTTGAGATTTATGGTCACGATCGCTTTTCTTGTTAAACTGATGACACTATTAGATTGATACTCTTACGAGCAAACTCGGCTTCCACTAGGGAAAAAAGTGGCGTAGGAGAAGGGCCTCCTACCACTTGGTAAATTTATTTCAAGTACTGACAAAAATGTTAAATCGAATGTTAATTTGACATATAATTCAGTAATTCCTGATACCAAGTGGCAGAAGGCCCATTCCCCTACGTCATTTTCTTCCCTAGTGGAAACCAAGTTTGCACGTCAGTGTACATATTAACCCTCTCACGAGGGATGCGATAAATCATATGGCCCCGTCACACGTGATCCATACTACACATTATATAATACTATATCAGAATATTACATTGATTTACAAGAATATGTAAAAATTAATATAAAATTAGTATTTTTGTTGAACGTTAAGTAATAGAAAAACTATTATGGCCCGTCTCGTGTGTATTAATATTCAAAGTCCATTTTCTCGTGACCAAAGTCTCAATGAAAAGGTTTCGTTTTTTTTTTTAGTATAATTTAAAGCGAAAACTAATCTATCGAGATCGATGCAGTCTGTTTGGAGATGGTTTTGCTTTTGAAATTGTGAATAATATGGAGAAAGAGAGAGATAAGAACGTACATTTCCGAGATATCTTCCCTGGAGGAAGGATTCTCCATGCTATCGGCGTGATCGGTGGCACCGCTATAAGCGGAAATGCGTCCTCTTTCGCTGCTACTACGCGCGTTTCCGGCTACGCCGCCCCCGCGAAGTTCTCCTGAAAACATGAAACGAAACGCTTTCATTAATTACGCTCGTTGATACGCCGAGCCGCTCTAACACACATTCGAGTAAATTGCTGGTTTGCGGCTCAATTGGCTGCAGGGCTCGAATGAATACTCCTCTCTGGTTCATCGTTTGACGGTAATTTGATTTATTAATAGGTGCGTGTGCGCGCGTGTGTGTGTGTGTATGTTAGCATTGTTCGCTATTCAGAAAATTATATCGTCAGTTTGTTGGAGGTGTGACATATAAACAGGAAAAGTAAAGTTTTTTCAGGAAATCGGTTTGAAATTGTTCGTGACAAAGAATTATTAATTACTCGACCATTTACCAATGAAAACATTCCTTTTCTTTTACAATTTAGATGATAGTCTTTGGATTTTGGTGGCAATTAATTATTATTATTATTATTATTATTATTATTATTATTATTATTATTATTATTATAGGGGTAATGGTTAATTAATTAATCAATTAATCTTGATCTTATTACATTTGATATTTTGACAACATTGGTACAGATGTCTTTCATTAAACTGAATCTTATTTAATTCTTAGATTAACGTATCTAATAACTTTTAGTGGTAATATTTCCAGATATCTCGAAATTAACTGTTTTTTAGATGTATCAGACTTCTGGCAAACTGACGATATGATATGACGGGAAATAATTTATGTAAGATATTATGTAAAGTATTATTGTAACATTAGGTTGATGGGATAGAAATGACCGATCATCATTCGTATACGTGCAGTTCTGAATTACAATTGTGAATCATAATTATGAATCACAATTTTATTTTTGTAAATTCTAATCTTCAACACTTTATTAAATCACAATTGAGGCAGTTCTGCATATATGAAATTTGTAGTTAATAATAAGATGCTTAACATTCTAGCTGGAGTAAGTTAAGAATGCTCAATCTGATAGTTTTAAGTTTTTTTTTTTTTTTTAATAAAAACAATAATACAAGGGTAACTAAGGCTGAATTAAAAAACTTAATTTCACCTGCTTAACAAATTGTCAATGCCTTTTACATAAAAAAATATTCTACAGTTTTCATTAAAACATAGACGAAAACGTGAAAAATTTCTTTTAATAATAAAACAAAATGGATTTTTCTAGTTCGAAGGTATTTTTAACACGTTGCGTACAGCACTCAACTGCTTCAAACTCAATGTTATTACTATTTTTCTCTCTTGTGACATGCATTTGCTCCAATATTCGCTTTAGAAACTACGGTGGGTTTCACACGACAATTTAACCACCAAAATGAGTTAATTTAACTTAGACAGTTATAAATGCATGAGTGAAACATCGCTGGAACGAGATATCTCGTGAACCATTCTCAAGGCCATGAAATAGTGCAATTTTAACGTTTTATGCAGCATTAATTGGAAAAGTTATCAACAAACTCGTAGAAATATGGAAATGTGTATACTGTCATATTTGAACAATAATAATACACTAAAATGTCCATGTAACCCTTTAGTAGTGAAGTGAAAATCTTATTACATATTACTAAACTGTGAAAGTTTACGGAAATTTACGATATTAGATACTAATTTCTAAAAATTAATGCAGGACAGAATTTCGTATTATTATTGAAATGCAAATATATAAGTACAAGATAAAATATACTTTAATGAATTATTATAAGATAAGGATAGATTATAATAGGATAAGGAAGAAAGTGAAAATTATGGGTATTATTATTAAGTACGTAATGACAGGTTCTAGTTCAGGACCATCAGGCTGAAATAAAAATTATACTACTACTACTCATTATTACATGTAATAATTTTTTTCTGAGAAGAAAAAAATTCAAGAAATTGATAAGAAACTAAAAATCATTGTTTTTCAATTATTTTACGATAAAATGACTCCAATGTACTAGGGGTTTGAAAAAAATATAATCCATAAAAAATCTGTGCCTTTAAAATGTGAACTGACTATTCAATAAAAACAAAATATTCTACAGATATTTACAGGCTTTCTCAATCCCTACCTCACCAATTAAGGGTTAAAGCATCGAATACCACAAGCTTGTACATAAGATCGACAAACAATATCAACATGGACTATGGTCACATAATTCCCGACAATCGAGATGTGGCCATCGTATGATGTTTATCCTACTAATTGAATTAAATAATGTTTATTTCATCTAACGCAACGGAAGGTCAGAGTGCATGCTTAATTACGCGTTGTATAGATAACTGGTGTTTTTCTACAGTATATGATACAGAAAACATAAATATCCTTCTGTAACGATCGTGATCGTGAACCGAGTATTGATATGGAATTACGCGTAGTACAGACAACTGATGTTTCACTGTAGCAGATCTGGGAAAAATTTGTTTTGAAATTAAAATAAGAAAAAACTATGCGAAATAATTTATTTAGGAACTTTGTTTCCAATATTGTTATTTGAAAATAAAAATATGATCGATTCATTTGAAATACTAGCAATTTCAAATAATGAGTTATTTTGGTATTTTTCCATTTCAAATTTGGCAATAGAAATAATACTAAAAATAATATACAACACAAAGATTTTATTTTAAGATATGTTTACAGCAATTTGCTTTATGCAGAACCCGCTCTTTAAAAAGCTCATCCGTGAAGAGATTTTTGCTTAGGTCGATCTGATATTGTCGCGGAAGATAATAATCATTCCACTGGCGTGAAGGTGGAAGAACGGGTAGTTACTCTTTAGAAAAATGTTAATAAACCAAACTCAGACCTAGTCGCCTGATATAATTTCGAAGAACAATTTCACAATTATTTCTAAGAATTATTTTAAATGATTAGGAAATAAAATAAAATGTTATTTTAAATAAAATTTCAAATAATGTTATTTCAGACATGATCACATGCATGGAAATAATTATGAAATTAAATAACATGTTATATCAAATAATATTTCAAATAATATAATTTCAGAAGTGACCAGGTCTGCACTACAATACGCGGTACAGAAAAAAACCGTCTTCTGTGCAGCGATCGTAATCACGGTGAGAGTTCAGTTTTGGAGTGACTCCTCTCCACTATAAACAGCGTTCCACGAAAGTGAAAAGAGCTAAACAATCGAAATCCTTAAAGAAAAAAAATTGTTCGACCGTAACATCAAAATACATAAAATTGGACAATAAAATGTTACAATTGAAACATGTTCTACCTCAAGGAAAAAAAGACTTTCATCGATATATTAAAATTGATTTCAACATACAAACACAGAACACGCTACTGTTTTCTCCGCGTCGGTGTATCTCCACTTTCGCTTTGTTCCAGAATAAAAGAATCTAACGGAGCGAGAGGGAAAAAAATGGTGGCACAACAGTGCAGTTAAATTATTTTAGCTACGCGCTGTTACACCACAAAAAGCCCATCGCAGATACATTTTCAGCGAAGCCATCGATTTTCGATACTACATCGAGGTCCCCCGAACGCTGTTCTTGAAAGCTTCTGAAGCTTCCGAGTATATGTATATGTAACTGAAAGAGGGAACGGGTTGTACAGGCCGAGACAAAATTCGTGGTACGTGCGTGGAAAACAAATTGAAAATGTGTGGATTAACAATTTTCATCGCGTGGAAATTTGACTGTTTTGGAAAGTTGAATTTTTGAAATTTCTTGTACATATGTGCAAACCACCGAGTATGATTTCACCGTCTGTAACCACACACCATCTCAGCTTAGGTAAACACCACACTAGAGCGAATTGGGATTTCGAATTTTTCATGATTGAGAACTTGAAGAGAATGGCAAGCAAATTGAACTCGTAACATATCTTTATCAAGGGTAAAATTCTCTTAGAAATTCAACGGTAATAATTGCAATAATTAGAAATAATTTTTTAAAACCATGTTTCGCTAGTGCGAATTCGCACTAGTATTGCGAGAGTTAATTAGAGTATAGTATAGTGATTGTAATTTTGGTGATATAGTAATGTCTCGATGAGTGCGACGTACTCGGGTCCAGTTCGGAGCATTCGTGGCAACCGTACTATAACTGCATAATAGTTAGTTTTATCAAAAACTAGATGCTGAGAAAACGACTGAACCTTCTAACAGACAGAAAATTTGTTTACACAAGGATTCTAATATGTCTAAATTCTTTTTCTTCAGTTTAAAATTTTGTAATCTCATTTCCCGTTTAGTAGATGCATGTACACCAAAGGGCTTATTGCCTGTTAAATAAATGAATAAAAAATACAAAAAATATGTACATATCCAAAAGGACTCGATTCCGTGGTTGGAAGCTCGAGAAATCGTGAGAGTCGAGGATCACGGGCACGCACAGTTTCCGTCTAAAATTACGAACGGCGATTACGAGAACGTTATCGGGTACCGGGCGAGATAACGAGAATTTCAAACGAAACATATCAATTCAACTTGTCCGCTTAGTGGCCTGTGCGGGCAACGAATTAATGCTGCCCACGGTGTGTGTGTGTGTGTATCTGTCTGGCATTTATCCAAGTATTCCAGCCTTACGCGGGCCGCTTATCAGGCAAGGAATGCAGCCCGAGGTAAAAGTGAATCGTGACGGACCACGCGCGGATGGGGTTGCTGCATTAATCTCTCCCGCTAGACAAACATCCAAATCGAACACGATTTATTGCGTCGATATCCTTTTGAATCGACTGGACCGTAAACTAGGTGAGCAGTGCAAATTTCTATTGTAAATTATCATTCGTTTCAATTCAGGTTCGATTCCACTCGATTACAATTTCATTACGATTCGATTTCGATTTGATTAGAATTCGATTTTGATTTTACTTCAATTCGATTTCGAGTCTCTACGATTCTAAACATGATTAGAATTTTTCAAACAGAACATGGTCAAACAGTCCAAACCAAATTTGAACCTCTTCAAGTACAAGACGGTCAAACAGTCGAAGTATGTTTGGAACATTTTTAATACTAGATGGTCAAACAGCCCAAACATATTTGGACCCTTTCAATTGTAAGATTCTCAAACAGGCCAAGTATG